AATCAGACAATCCCAGTGAAAATCCCTTTTTGCCAGTGTTTGGGGCAGATTCTGACCCCTCTGACCCCTCTGCTGTCCCTGTCCCTGCCCCCAGCAGCCCTGCCACAGCCACAGGCCCACCCTGGGCCATCCCACCCACTCCCAGGATGTTTTAGAGATGAAGAATCACTTCTGGGGAGCTGCAAAGAACCATCGAGCCCTGGCCCTGTCTGTGTGAGGTTCTCCCAAGCCCCCAGCTCAGCAGGGCAGGAACAGCCTCGGGCAGGAGCTCCTGTGYCAGGGGTGTGGTGCAGCAGTGCCTGGGACCAGCCTGGCACATCCCTGGCACATCCCACACTCATCRAGAGGCTTCAGGCTGATAAAACACCAAAACCCTGTGAAACAGCACCATTTCACACCTGCAGTATTGACATTTTCCTTCAGCAGAGATGGGAAAGGGCTTTGCTTACAAAGGAATAAACCAGGCACTGCCTTTCCCAGGGCACCCAGTGAGGCTGGATCCAGGTCCTGCTTTGGGGGCTCTCAGACCATGARCTCAGGAGCAGCCTCTGCTCTCCAAGGCAGGGATTTCCCCTCTCTGGCAGGGACAGGACCACCCCACTGTGGGACTCAAAATGTTCTGAGGAAGCTGAATAGTTGGATCTGAGTGGATGGAGCCCCCACAGCAGCCAGAGCACCGGGCACACTCCAAGAGCAGCTTCCCAATGGTGTTTCCACTCCAGCAGGGTCAGGGCTGTTAACTGCTACGGCATTTACTTGATGGGGATATGATGAAAGCAGAAAATCGTAACAAGGCCAAATAAAATCCCTTTCCCTCCCAGTTAAGCACGTTTGCCACGCTGCTCCCTGTTTGTTCCTTGCTCCTGCCCCGCGTGGGTGAGCTGGTCCTTCCAGGAAAGATCCAGCACCGTCTGCACCCTCCCACTTCATCCTTACATGGAGCCACACATGGAGCTCTCCTCACCCTTCCCGGGACCTTTCAACACCCCGTTCCTGCGTTTTTGCCTCCACACGTTTAGCTCGGAGCAGTTCCCCGTGGAGCTGCAAAGCCTCCGCCTCCATCGCGCAATTTATCGCGGGCAGACTGAGGAAAGAGATCCCCGGAGGCAAATTCTTTCCTAATCTCTTSAATCCCCCCCCAAATCCCGGCTCTTTCCTTGCCTTGAGCCTGATAAAAGCGTCTCTGGGAAGGGGTGAGCTCAGGGAGGGGGAAACCCGATCCGGGCGGGAGAGAGCCTGGTGGGAGAGCCGGGGAGGGCAGTGGAGCAGGCTAAATATCGAGTCTGGATTTGGCTGGATAACACAGCCCCCGTTCTTTGGCTTCCAGCACTGTCCACTCGCCCGTCCCCACGGATTGTGGCCCGGGCTGTGCCGCAGCATCCCCTCGTTGCCATGGCAACGCTGGCGTATCCTCCCACCAGGACATCGCCTCCCTTCTGCCCGTTTTTAACAGCCCGCACTTAAAAGGCAATCAGAAAGGCGTTCAATTAGTCACCGAGTATTTTCGGCACCGGTTGGTTCTGGGCAGGAATCTTCCTTCTCTCTGTGCAATTCCTACTCTCCTCAGAGTCCCCAGCCCCAGCCTGAATCCACTCTTGAGGGGTGGCAGATACCTGAGCTGGCTGCTCAGGTGGGCTTCCTGCTGCTCACTGTGGGATTTCATCCCTGGATTTCATCCCTGGCTCCTCTAGAAC